GAACAATAGTACTAAATTGTGAAAAAGATCAAGTGAAATAGAGAATATATCAAAAGAACATATCCGTGGGAGGAGATAAACATTATAACGATGCAGACTTCAAATTTACCGACAGGAGCGGCAAAGAAAATAAACGATTCGTCAAGGGTAATCCTCAAGACGAAATCGAGATACGGAAATGTCATACTCCTGTTGTAGGTCAATTCAAGACAGGAAGGGAGCCGAGATTGTGCACATAGCAGTAAACAGAGGTTTTCGTATCATAGGACTCAATATTAAATTTTGTTACAAGGCCAGAGTACCACGTTAACTTAGCGTATGAATGATCGCAGGCGACTAAGATACTAAACTCTTCTTGATCGTTGAGCCGCTGTCCGAGAGTGATTTCCAAAGTTCTGCAAACTCCGTTCTACACATTTAGCTTCAGATTCTCCGCACCAACTTCCGCCTTGGTTTACGGGCTCCCTGTTCTCTCTTCTTACTCGACTCTTCTGATGTGACATTCGTTTGTAGACCGACGTTGTGCCGATTCCCAATTGCAGCTGTACGGCCTGCAGGCCGTGCTGCAGCGCTTCCTTCAGTAGGACTTGATGTCTTTGCCTTCTTTACCACAACCGTGGACAATGCCTCTCGACGCTGGGGCAAAGTTGACTGCTCATTAATCTTTCTGTAGTTGCTTCCGAATAGCTTTTCCATTTTCTTTAGTAGATCAGTGAACGTTGGCATACGACTGGGTAATCTCTTCTTCAGTTTGGAATTATTGCACTGGCGCCTACCAACCCACTCTGCTCCTTTTATCTATTTTCTGGCAATCTGTGCATATGCATGTAAAGAATAACCATGCTTACGGGGAACACGCTGAAGGGTGTCCTGGTAGAGCCAGGCCATCCGTGGCATGTGCGTTCGAGTGTATCTTCCCGACAGTGATGACGCACAGAGGTCGCGCGCTCACTCCGCTGCCGGTTTTGCTCGTCCTTTCTAACGGGTAACTATGGTAACTATGGTATTGACTATTGTCCACATCTCGTGACAGTTATCCATGTTGATCAGTTGTGCCAGTGCTGCAACAACTTGACCTGCAACTGATTGTTTTCCGGAGATTCGTCCATGATCACTAGCTCCAGAGCTCTTGCTGACGCTGCACATGTGCTCTCTCTAGCTTCTTGAGTCTAGGAGATCTGGCACGCTGGCAACTGTTGATGACGGTGCATAGAGCTGGCGGTAGGGACGTTTGGGCTTTAGCTCAGGCGTCCGGTACTGAGTTCGGACCGTAACTAAATATGGAGAATGATTCATTGCCTTAGCAGTAACAGCGCGGGACCAATCGGGAACTGTATTCTTGAACATCGCATGACGCTCACAGTACAGTGGTTCATCTTTAGCAGACTGGCCACTTGAAATTCTGAGTGCTTTCGGGCGTCTGTTGAGGGGTACTTGAGTTTATCAGTGTACGTAAAATCACTCAATCCGCGGATAGAACTGTTTCGTCCTTTGTGGACTCATCAGCGCAGAACAGAGAAAGCGAGGCCGAACCTGATAGCAATGAAAAATAAAATGTCCAAAGCCAGATCTGAATGCACATGTACCTTGCCAGAGTGATCAAACTGACAAGTCAGCGAGCTCTGCTAAAGGCAGACAGACGCAGTACATGTTAACTGTGTTCTCAGCAGTCTGTGTGCGGTCCGCTCCTTGTCGAACTACATGTAGCTAGCACCGTGATGTCGTTGCTCGTACTGGTACGAAACGGAAGAATGAGTGTCCATTAGCTATTGTTCTGAGGCACTGTCCTGGGTCCGCAGAATAAGTGTGAATAGATATTCTTGCAGAACATATTGCTTGATTATTATTTTAATTTTTTTAATATCTATTTGAGGGATGACCCAGAGTCCGGGTATCCAGGGGTTCTCCACTTGTGCGATTATGTATGGGTAGCAGTACACCCAGTATCACTACCGTACATGAACTTGCACTAAATGAGAGAGGAAGACTGGCTAATTGTCCTGACTTCCTGTCCCTGGTTCTCAGAATGAGTGTGAATGGATAATCTGGCAGAACACATTGCTTGATTATTCAGGGCGTGCAGTGGTCTGTCATGAGCACGATACAGCAATCGTTTCATTTGGTTTGAATTTGATGATGGTATCGCTGGGAGAAAACACACATTTCCTGACTGAGAAAACACACATGTCCTGCCGCACGAGAATGGTATGATTATGTTGGGTTCCTGTCATATGATGAGCGGCAAAAGACTGAGCAAATGACTTGATGCTTTACCACCGATACACGCTGTAACAGGGTGTGAGTTTGAAGCTCTACCAAAGGCTGAGTCAGTGCCTAGCCTTCGATGCTTAGTAGCCTTCAAGCTGTCGTTGCTGCTCTTGCCTCACCATACCACAATCATCCTCATCATTATCAGCATCAGCGTGAGCAATCAAATTTCTTTTTTTCTTCATTTCTACACGTAGACAGTTGACTTTCACAAGTATGAAACAGTCACAAATGCAACGACCATGATTCGTGTCTTTCTTCCTCCTTCGTTTGTCGGTGTGGCTAGCTACCTCCCTTTTCCGCTCGTCATGCTGACTTTGAGAAGTACTTCAAGTAGACACGCATTTAAAAAATCAAATCGTACAATGTGTTGCATATCAGGAAGAACAAAACTTAACTCGGATACTGAGCCAATAAATAATATTATAATGAAAATAGAAGATATCACATGGAAACGAGTTATGAATCAACTAACCAGGACTATAGCAAGATAATGACCAGTCAGAAAGTGCGATAACAGGGAACAAAACTGACATGTTGCTGAGACATTCAACGACCTGAGACTGTGGATAGTTGCTTCATAACTCGTTTCCATGTGATTTCGTCTATTTTAATTATAAGAATAAAAAATACGTCATTACAGTGTCCGTATAAGCGAGGTATGTCAGTATGTATTAGGCGAGGAGGTTGAACAGGAAAATGACAGAAAAAAAGAACGAGGCTAATACAATGCTTGCTCAATGGCTTTCCGTTTCAGCGGACAACATATTGTGTGAAGAGTAAATAGCCTCATATTACGCCTTATAGCAAGTAGCCACCGGCCTCAATCCGATAAAAAATAAAAATGAAACGACAATGAGTCGGACATTTGGCAACTGCGGCTTTGAAACAGGGTCATTCCATCGGAATAGGACTAGCATATCCCTTCTTTCTTTACAATGAGGCTGCCATGGCCCAGACGGCAATGAATAAAAAACCTCTTGCAGCTATGTTTCACCCTTGTAACAGGTGCAAGCAGGTCTACTTCCTCCGGAAACAAAAACTTCGTGACTTTTTCACATGACTTTTCAAGGAGTTACTGTGCTCAACAGAAGTGTTCTTTTGGAAGAGAAACACTTCAACACGTTCAATCGACATATCTACAATATATACATGATCGAATGGGAGTAGAGTCTCAGTCTGGGTCGCCATCGCTCGATTCATCACCGCTGAAACAGTTCCAAGTTGCAGGTCGATCGACGCGATGTCGTATGTCGTGGAGAAGCTTCTCCGCGTCCCTGATCGTCTTCACGGTTACCTGAATGTCTTCATCTCGGCGGACACCACGGCAGAGCTGCAGCGCTGGTACTCATTACCGCCTCCGCTCTCGCTCGAGGATGCCACGGAACAAAAAACACAGGCAAAGCCGAACATTTCAAATTTCTTCCGAGGGATATCATAGTCGTACCAGCACTTCTCGACTGCCCCGATCAGATCTCGCCTTCTCCTTTGTGACCGAGGACACATCATCGAGGCTGCTGGAAAAGGCGAGGTCATGCACGTTGAGGTCTGGGCTCTGCAGTGGCTGAACGACTTCTTAGTTCTATTTTGAACTTGTTCATCTTCCTCTGCTGCGCGAAGTGACGATTGTCACATCTCTGCGTTTTGGAGTTTTGACATCTTGCCGACCTGTTTGCAGGCCGAAAAGGCGCGGGGATGGCGAAGATTTCAAAACGCTAGCTGCTATTGGTATTCATTTTCCACTCTTCTTGCTCCTCGGTGCCATTGTCCTGCTCTGTCAAGTTCTGAACTGCGCAGCGAAAGTAGAGAAAAAATCAAATAACACCAGATAAAAAAGCATATCCATCACGAAGTGTGTTTCTCCTACAACCGTTGTTGCAACTGTTTTGTAATTTTACACGTCGTAGCAACCAACTTCGCTGAAGACGTTTAGGACCACTCGACATTAACATTTTAGTCAGTTTCTCTAATGGGACACACATGTCGGAAACGACATACAGATCTCAATAAACTGTTTATGTATTTCATCCTGTCTGGTGGCTCACGATTTTTCGCCGGTCTAATTTTTACGTTTCGCTGATTCATTGAAGACTACTATCCAACTTGCATTCGAACCTTCTTTTGTCTCAAATTAGCATAAACCTGAATCGCTGTTCCCGCGAAATTCATTGCAGGCTTCGTATTTAACTCTCTATGACCACCCGAGACCACATGGAGTATAGCGTGCCACGCAAGTAATAGCACTTACTCGCACCCCCCCCCCCCCCCCCCCGCATCCCCCCCGCCCCCCCCCCCCCCGACCAGTATGATATCCCTTTGCCAAATGCCAGCTTACGTGGTCGGCAGTGCTTGCTTCGGATTGTCCGTTGTTCCAAAGTCAAACCCTTGGCTAAGCAAGACGAGGTTCGCGCTCCAGCTCGCACTCCAATGAAAGACGAACTCAGTAGCAATGGTGAACTGAGGTAGATGGGAGAAGGGAACTTATGGTGGATGATGCCGGCAAGAAACCGGGCAGGTTTGATACATGACATTGTGCATGTACACGTCATATGAGTACACACACGTACATGTACATGTACTTCAAAAAGTACATGTACTTGTGGATAAAGAAGACCAGCAGAATGCAAGGAATTGCCAACAAACACCTTTTCATGTACATTTACATGTACACGTAGATGATACAGCCAATTTCAATTTTCAATGACTTTCGAGCAGAACTTGCCACATTTTTTAGTGTTATCCGCCTTTCGGCCAAAGTACTATGTTTTGTATTTTCATGCATATAGGGTACATACATGTGCAGTACGTGCAGCAGGCAAGAACAAAAAGCAAGTTTAGCACTAGCAGTGTGCAGGAAAGCCGACTCGTCAACGTACATAATAATTATACGACGACAAAAAAATGTAGGACTGACATGCAGATGAACTGTGATACTAAAAATAATAGTGGTAAAGTAATACTGGGGTAGTGATCACGTGATACTAAAGTAGTGACAAACGTAGTCTAAAGGTCCCAAGTATGGGAAGTGTGATGTCCATACATGCAAATCCGTTGAGGGAGTTGAAAGGGGGAAAGGTTGGAAACAAAACGCTGCTATTCAAATGTGTGCTCAATGGCGATCACATCTGTCTGCCACGATAGGAGTATCAAGAGTCCATAATAATTATTATCAATTTTTATAGCAGGGTAGCCACCAGCCTCAATAATATTAAAAGAGGAGTGAATCGACAATGAGTCTACACGTCTCAGAAGCCGTGTTAATGCAGCGTTATGCAATCAAAATGTGACTAGCAGGCATATTTCGCACCGTGAATTTCCTTACATTAAGTTACAATGAGGTAGCAACAGCCCAGACGGCGATGGATGTCTTGTAGATGTGTCTGAACCTGGGTACTGTTACTTTCAAAGAAACCTCAACCCGTCGAGAAACAAACACCTCAACGACACTATGCGTCAGCAGATCCATTTGTCACTGTACTGTTTTTCACTGGCGTTGAGCAACATGCAGCTGGTGGAGGGCTTCGCTCTAAAATGGAAACATTCGCCGTGTGCCATCTTGCATAACGCTTGCGCAGCGCCAAATGAAAGGCTGTGTCTAGCAGAATCTTGAGCAGAAAGGTTGCCACTCCCATTATCGAGATGAGTGACATGAACAACAGGTTCGCCTGTGCTATTGTCAAACAGAACAGAACGAAGATGACGCTCCATGCCAAGCCGACCAGGAAGAACGTCGACCCAGCGACTCTCGCCTGGTGGACGTGGTGCAGAAAGCCAACGTCTTGTGCTGGCTGTTTCCTGGAGGCCTGCGCCCTTGCTCTGTGCATGATGCGTGCGAAGATAACCCCACAGGTCAGCATGCTGAATAGAAACGGTATGGTGGCGCTTAGAATATCTCCCAGTGCAAGCTCTTTCTGGCACCTGTGACAGTACACACATAGTACACAGCGAAAACGAATACAGGAGCTCAAATCTAGGCACGCCACCGGGCGACTATACTTGTAAGTGTCTGCTCCGTTGAGAGGAGGAGCAATTGGAGGAGGAAATACCTTTGGTGAAAGACAATTGCTGAAACCAACTATGTAACCGGAATTTTGGCTGCTCCCCATACTGGAGATCGCGCTTTCCTCCCACTTGACACTTGACTTTCTCATGGCTGCCATCAGGAGCAAACGACGAGTCCATAGAACTTACTTACACCGGGCCAACCTGCCAGACATCACCACTACCTTCGCAAAACACAAAATAGTAAAAATTGAAATAACAGTACTACTACTAGTCTGTACATGTCCAGTGTTAATGATACACGTATCCCTCTGTAGAATGTCAGCTCACCTTGATGGCATTGCCGGCCCAGGATGATCTGGTGTTCCTAGGTCGAACCCCAATGCAAGTCTAGTGAGCAGGGTTATCAATCCCGAAGTACCTGTGGGAGCGAGGCAGGAGAAATGCAGAGAACAACATCAGGGGCCACGTGGACATGGCATTCCTTGCACAACAAGCTTCCTTTGCATGAATTTTAAAGCTTTGAAGGTGAGGTCATCTTAGGTTGCGTTTGGTTGGGCATTTTCAGAATGTAAATGACAACCATTCTGGAATGGGAATCGGCAAGAATCACCTGACCAAACTAACGCGCCAGGATCAATTAGGAATCACTTGACATAACAATTCCATGATGTCGTTGTGGAACGGCGGCTGTCTTTTCTTTTACCCGACTCTAGTTTCCTTGAGAGAGTCATGGTACTTCTGAGTGCATAATTTGAGGCACTTGAACCTGTTGCTACATTGTTTGGCTCGTGGCAGCCATTATCATTTTTGATTCCGGAATGAGAATGCTCATTCCAGCATATGAGGTGGAATGATCATTCTCCAAAAAGAATCATTCTCAGCGATTCCCATTCTGGAATCATGTGGAATGTGACCAACCTAACGCACTTTTTTGACCAACCAAACGGGCGAGAATGATTCCGAGTGATTCCAAGTGATTCCCATTTGGGAATGTGACCAACCAAACGTAACCTTAGTAAAGGTTCATGTACGTCTACAATAATATATTACGTGTCCTGCAAGGCGTTCGCCAGGGCTCTTGCAAAATAAGCCTTTTGCCTTTTGGCAATTGCTTAGGGGTATCGATGGCTTCTGGCGTCGAATTTTGTAGGTTTAGATTCACTGCTCTGGGACCAACTTAAACCACAAACACTTTAGACACAAACACTCTCCCCTATCAAGTTTGTTGCGCACCTCACCCCTGGGCCCTGGCAACGTTTGCCAACACTGGCGACTTGAAGGGGGTCCTTGAACAACTTTGAGTTTGTTCTGAATATGTCTTAACCTAGGATCCACCTGAGCGCAAATCTGGCCCATCCGGGAAACAATCAGCTTGGTAATGAGACGGCAGCCTCTGGGGTCCCCAGTGGAGATATTTGGCATGCAGAAGACATACATGTACTGAAATACAGTCAAACCTCTTCAGTACGAACACCAAGGGACCGATGATATTTGTTTGCAATAACGGGAGTTCTTCTTATCCGTATGGTATACCCAGTGAATAAACAGTGACTTATCCAATGGAAAAGAATTCGGGTGGACAAACCCATTCCCATAGCGCTGCATATCACATCCGAACCAGTTCCGTTATATCCAATGGAGTTACGAATACTAGTTCTTCTCAAGCAAACATTTGTCTTATCAGTGTTCTTCCTAACCAGATTTCACTGCACTACAGTCCATTTCAAAACTATAGACGCGTACCTAGGCAAAAACCGTTATGCCAGCATCTATACCACATAAAATCTGTGATCACTTTGTGCATAAATTTTTCCAAATTGGGCGTCTGTTATCCAATCCTTTAGAAACTATATGAGAGTAATTGTGGAGCGATCCTGAGCAATATTCCGAAAACTATTCTCAAAAAGTTCCAGCCAAGTTTGGCGCTACACGCTGCGTAACGCCATTCACATAGCACAATGCGCGCTACCTTCTGCTGCTTCTCCTCCGTGATGTGCTAGTTGCGCCTTTTCTCTCTCTCTGTCATACTAGGTGACATAATTCGCATCTTTTTTGGCGCTACACTCTGCGTATATACTGCTCTTGTGTGGCTTCCACGGTATTCATTGTTATTACGTGACGATGGCCAAGTGCCGAAACGTTGTAAAATAACGGAACTGGTTCGGATGTGATATGCAGCGCTATGGGAATGGGTGTGTCCACCCGAATTCTTTTCACAGTTCCAGCCAAATTTGAAATATTTCAAAAACCCTACGCGTCTATAGTTTTGAAATGCACTGTACATGCACATGTACTGTACTGTTCGTGGTTCGGTCTACTCACCGTAGGCTGCTAACGTAGCTTTGCGAACGTAATGACTGATGGGTGATTTGTGGCCGTCAAAAATGTGTCTGTGCAGATGAAGAGCTTGCACTACTGCTAGCAATAAGACGGATTTCACGAAAAATGACAGGAGCACGTTGATGAAGACGCACGAAAAGAGGGTCCTCTCATTTCCCACTATGATATTTGCCAGATCTAGTAGGATAGCCATCCACAGAGCAGCTGACTGGTGCATGAAGATCACACCGCTGGCATTTCGGCGAAGTTCTCTGTGCAAAGCAACACACCATCGAGGCAATAACACGCTGGTTTACAGTTTTTCCACACTAGATGTAGGCAGAATGCTAAACCCAATCAGTGGACACCAATAGCCTGAACAGAGGCTGGGCAGAGAGGACACACATGTATACGTATGTAGTTAGCAGGCTCGGGTGGAGGGCGAAGGGATACATTTACAGAAAATAAAGTGACCAAGGAACTGCAAGTATGCTGTTGAAGACTCCATTGCAGCTGAACGTATGGTTGATTAGTATGGTCGTAGTATGGTCGTAAAGGCCAATTGATTTGATGATATTAACTGGTTTTGAGGGAAAGAAATTTGATGAAAATATTTTTGAAGGTTTTTCTGGTTTGGGGTTGAAATTCATTATTTTGCATATGCATTTGTCTGATTTCTTCTCCAGTGCATGATTTATTGCATTTTAAACCATTGTGTCAATTTGCCCGTAAAATAGGTCGTAAAGACACACCTGGCAATGTGGCGGAAAATCCACGCCTGCCCACACACGCTCTCTGGGCTGTAAAGTTCTAGCACAGAGCTCTCCTTATCACCACCACCACCACCACCGCCATCAGGTCGAGCCTAGACACTGTGTCTGGGCAGGTGTATATTTTCTAGGGTTGAAACAAACATGGATTTCTCCTTAACGAAACTCCTTTGTCGTAGCGATACGAACGTGCGAGTATGCTCTGTAAGAGACTTCGTTTTCATGATTTACTGTCCCGGCTCTATTGGGTGGTGCACAAACAAACCTTAACTAATGAGGTTTCCACCTATACCATACTATCTGACCAAAATATTATAATTATACATACACGTACAATACATACGTGTGCATGTATAGTTGTCTCAGGCTTGTAATCTGGCCTGAGCCTATTAAACTGATAATAATCGTATTTCGGAGACGTCCGGGACCAGGCACTACCCGCAACTTTCCATTGTCCGTATCTCTAAGTCACAAACCGGTATGTTTGGACTGCGAAAGGCAAGAGACAGTCATGATGTCGCTATTTCCACTTATTTTAAACAGTGTACGACAGCTCTATTAGAATGAGTATTGAGCATGCTATGGAGGCGGAGGACTCTTGTTCGTTAGTGCTATACTAGTGTACATTGTACAAGTACATGTGTGGCTTAAGCTGCACCAGGAGACGAAGGGCCTTTTCTACTTCAACAGCATTCAGGAACCCCTTTGCTTTACCAGTAGACCACAATTTCAGTCCATATTTGCTTCTTTCTTCTTTTCCTTTTCTTTTTGACTTCTTACTCTTTTCCTTGTTAGCCGTGGTAGGCTATAAAAACCGTGCAATCGCCACGCAAAGTGGTCATTGGCTACCCCAGCCATGTATTGCTTGGAATAAAATAAAATAAATAAATGTACATGTATTTACACTGTATAAGTACGAAGTCTCGTTTGGAATTCATTCACTATTATTCGTTAGGGGGCACGAAATAATTAAAGATTTTTCTGAACGTTCCTGGTGAGAGACCTCGACCAAAAACGAACTTTAGTACGTAGCGAACCTGCTGGTGGGCTGATCTAACGAAAAATTCCGTAAACGAAACACCATGCCCATACAGTCAGTACCTACGGTAAGGCTATGTGAAACGCCAGGCAGAGAGTAACAAGAGACAACGCCACTGACAGGCAGGCACGTGACACTGTCAGCTCCAGTTCCGTGTTGTGGACACGTTTCGAGTCCTCTTGGGTGGTGTGGTTTACACAGAGCCAAACCTTCGTCCACACGTCTTTGTGGCCTAAATCAAAGCAACGAAAAAGCGAACAACACAGTAATGTGCAGTGAGATGGATGTACCCGTACGTACATGACGCTTTCATTCACGTACGTGCTGATAGTGTTGATGTTGATGTACAATCAGTCATGTATCCATTCAACAATATTCAAATCAAGCTCTTTAATAGTGGTAATGTAACACAATCAAATTCAACGCAGAGGCAACTCCAGACTGATATCGTATTTGCCAGTGAGGTGTAACGGAATTCGATTGCACCTCAGAGGTTCACGCTTGCGCGGTCATCAAAGAAAACTCACGACGGTATGAAACGGGGAATGGAGTCTTGCTATATGCTCAGGGAAGTACAATGTAAGTAGGGAGGTTTAGTCCCACGTAATCCGTGGGTGCTTTACGTGTGTGTACCACGTGATACTCAGTGACCCACGTACAGACGTTTTCTGATTCACGACATACCGTGTATGGAGGCTCACCCACGTTCCTCCAGAACGTGGGTGAAAATCAGATTGGTGCTCCGCAGAAGAAGTTTCCGCAGCACGAAATCAACATTTTCAATGAGCTTTGTAGGCCCGGGTAGCTTCGTCTTTGACCAGGTTTGGGCCTTTCGCTTCAGGCTTTTGTTTGTTCCGTGTGACTAAACACAACATTGCAACGTGGGTGCCGTTCATCCACTGTACGTGGATCACCCATGTACGCGTTTCTATTAGGTGGAAACTAAACCTCGCTAGTGGCCAACTATTGCGCGAGGAATACAGTGGACAGCGCCGTGCATATACACGTACCATGTACATTGGATCAAAACGGGTTTATTCAAACAACACGACATGGAAAGAAGGAAGAAAACCAAATTTACAAGGGATGAAACTCGACGATGAAATCAAAATGAAAATTTGAAGAAAGTCTAACCCAAAGAAACTCAAGGCAAATGCAATATGTACATTGGCTCACTGATCATTGTATTTGTTCAGCACTCTGGATGCATTTGCTATCGAACTACATGTATCGTTATAGATTCATCGGTGGAAATATCTTTGATGGTCATTACCTTCTTGTAAAAAAAGAGGAAATCATCGTGTCCGTTCCGGGAGAGAGCCTACGAGGGCCGCTAACACCCGGTAAACCCTATCCGCAGACCATTTGCCTACTGTTCTATAATAATGTAAGTCAGTCAATGGCTTTTGCTGCCGAGTAGGGATTGATGCTTGCTAGTTTGCGGGGTGGAGTGCTAGTTGGAATTCTAGTGTGCTACTGATAGTGGTCGTGAGTTTCAAGTGCCGAATCAAGTTTTCAGGAACAGCGCGAGTTCCAGCATGGTGAGCAACACACTCATAGAAGAGATGAAGTGAGTCAACAAAAACGTAATAATCTGTTTTTTTATTGGTTTGGGTTTGAAAATCTATATTAAAATTTTTACACATGCATTTTCTGATTTCGTCATCAGTGTATGTTTTATTGCATTTTAATCCATTGTGTTAATTTTTGCCCGTAAAAGAGGATTGATTTATGATGAAGCGTTTTTGGCGATGCGACTGCCGCGAAACCGGGAAATCCCCAAATCGCAGCCATCTCGCACTTCACGTAACTGCCGCAACTGGACCATCGCGGAAGTTGAGCTTGGCTCAACTTTTGCGATGCGACTTCTGTGAATGGTATTTCGCGAGTTCTCGCTTAACACTGTGTGCTTACCGGAAAGCCAGCCCTCCATCTCCGACGAGGCTTCCAAGCTGCTGACCTACATGCAAGTACATGTACACGAACAAGCGTTGCACATAACCTTTCATCAATTTTGCATTTACCAGGTGGGAGTGTTCCACCACATTAGAATTTGGTATAATTTGTAGATAGTGTCTGCTCCAAACGTTGGAGGTCTCCACTCCTGCCGACGAGATGTTTGTGAATAAACCTCAACTGCTTATCAGAATTTGTTGAACAAATTGGAAGCGCTCACAATTCTTAGAATAGTACAGTAGTCATGCACCATACGCTGCCCATACCAGAAGGCATATGCGGATAATGCCGGTAGAAAAATTAGCAGAATTCGGCACTTTTTCGGGTAAGTTTCATGCATGTTTGGTATGTGGATAAAGAAATGGAGCAGAATTCGAGGAATTGCTCGCCATAAGGTTTGTATGGTTCTGCCAATTTCACTGCTTTTCGAGCAGAATCTGCCACCTTTTCGAGCATTATCCGCACACCCCTACATACCAGTCTAGAAAAAAAATCGAAGATTGTCCGAACAACCGTTTTCGCTCACTTCTCATCATGGGTTCATACGGAATAAAAATCAAACTGAAGAAATGATAGATTGCTTGTGTAAACAAATATGACCCAAATGCATTGGTTCTTCAAAGGTATCATTAATTTTGTATTTGTTTGAGCGAGGAGTGAATTTTAAATGTTAAATGTTTGTCGATGGTTGTTTGTCCTCTCCCCTTCAATCATTGTTTCGCCTCCGCCAACTCGCCCACACACAGTCAGATAGTAGTACTCGCGGCCAGGTTACAGCTGCTTCAGTATTACCTACTCTACAACATACAAGTGGGTTTAAAAAATGGAGCTACACATTGCATTTCACTGTGCTTTCAGTCCTTGACCACTCTGGTGGGTTTGATCTAGTCACCTCCCGACGCTTTAGGAGCTGCATCTGGGCCTTGATCCTTGAAGAATGGTGGCCTCCTAACGACTGCGGAAAACTAGGTATCCAGCCGAGTCTCACACGAAACGTGATTTTTAACTGGGTCTTAGTCGCCGTCGCAATTTCCCTTGGGAAGGGGGACATAATGTTACTTACCGTCTTAAAAATGTTTCAAATTAGTCTTTGGGTATTGCAGCGGGTCTGAACTGCCTGCTGTCAACCTTTTTAGCTCATTTGGAGCAGTATCTGTGCAAGAGGCTTCGAGGGGTGTGGCTTTCCCACGCAAGCGGGTAATTCAGTCTCGGATAATCATGCCCAGCTGTCGTGGTTTTTGAATAATGTCTTATTGATACTCCAGTGACTCTATGCATGCACACATGCACAACCAGTCATGTACAGCGCTGACGAAAGGAATCCATCCTCATGCATGAATAACATAGCGCCGGGCGCTACGCAAACGCTGTTCTATGCACGCGAGCGCGGCACTACCTTATTCATGAGGTTGGATTTCTCTGGCCAGCACTGTACATATACGTGAGAAGATCGTTCTGGAGACACAATCTTCAACCCAGCAACTAGACGGGTGGATTGGGCTAAAGCAGTCCTTATATCCAGTTATGTGTTATCTTATTTTTAGATGTATCTGTGCCCCAGCTTTCGAGGGTTGCCGCTTTCCCACGCGAGCGGACAATTTGCATGGTGACAATTCAAATAATGACTGTAGGCCACATAGAGAGTGTAATGTTCTGCACAAATTTCCTCAGCTATTCTCAATTTCTCTTTTGCAAGCGAGCTAAATCCCAGCCAATACGGGGAAGCATGTACATGCATATGTATTTAGATGCTGTCATCACATCATTGGGTTTGTTGGTCGATTATAGATCAAATACATACAGTTCCAAAATACAAGGCATACCTTACACTTGTTGCTGACCCATTGACTTGGATGTGTCCTGGGGTATCTCCACATCCTATCAGGAAGAACAATTCGTCTTCCCTAAGGATGTCTACCTGGTCATGGTATGATGTGTTCGTAGCGTTCGGCTTCATGCATGGTTGCATGCAGACGCTTAGTATCACGTTTGAAATCTCGCCATCACTACTGTTCAGAACTAAGCTACCGTCTAGAAGCTCTGCGACGAAGTGTCCACCCAGACTATTTGCTACCTCGTTCACATCCCTGCAGCTGGGATATCTGCTTCCATTCTCCAACCTGAACGCAGTACTGACAGGACTACAAGCGTCAGCTGTGTGGACATCCAGGACGGTTGCATTGTCAGTATTGCCTGTAGAGTCCGACACAATGCCATGAATCACTGGAGAAACAGGAACAACCGCAAAGAGCGCGCAGACGCTGATTCAAACCATCACATCCATTTTTGGGGAGGAAGAATGACAATATGGCATGATGATTTCAATACCTAAGAGTGTATCCTTGACGAATTGGGAATATTGTCATTTCAAGTTAGCACATTGCAGCGAAAGAAACTTACGCAATGATACTAGTATCACTGAATATGTCCATACGCGTTGGATCGCTAGTACTTTGGCGGTGCTGCCCAGCCGCATCTCTCAAAATCAGTTCACGAGAGCATCTACCAATTCCGAAAGCTATCACCTTACACTGACATGCACCATAAACTTTATAACTGGTAACTGGCAACTTCAGGGTGTAAACCTTCTCCACTTCGTACTACACCGTTGCGAAATATCGCAGGGCTCCACACACTAAAGCGGGGTCTGTAGGAAGGAACTACTGATCGGGACATTCTGCATGCTAGTAGAGTAAGTGCTATGTGTGATGCTAACCATTGGAGGCCTGTTCTAATGGCTTCATGCTACCGGTGTTTGACTACGCTCAACTGAGACTCTCCACAACCACGGCATTTAGAAATACATGCAAGGCAAAGTGAATGCGATTTTGCTTCACATGTAACCTGGTAACGGACTTGGGGGCTGCACTTACTGGGTGATGCTCAGTCAACACGAGACTGCACAGGGAAGTACAATGCCTTGCTCTTGACAGGTAAGAGGAAGCGCCTGGCCACCTACAAGGAGTAGAACTATTTTCGATAATTCGTAGGCATTATCTACTGTGGACGAGTGACTCTGTAGACAGTGAACAGTTTATGCGGCATAATGCAGGTACACAAAGGCACACGATGAAAACCTTGGCAAATTAATTCCGTTGTGACTCAGAGTCACCAATCATCAGGTCTGATGATTGGTTCAGCCATGAAACTCTGAGTCACAACGGAATTAATTTACCAAGGTTTTTCATTGTGTGCTTTTGTGTACGCCGCTCTGCCTGAATCAGGCATTGAGCACTCTTGCAGAACCGAAGCATATTGCCTCTGTGCTGTATTATGCAGGTAGTCACACAAGAGAGATTGGAAGCTGTGTAGCAACCCTGAGTTTCACGTGTTACTACGATCATCAGCAAACAGACACGTCATTGAATTTGTGTAGTCATTGTGCTTGTCAATACGCTGGTGGTCTGAGGACTTCCCTGTCTATGCATGAATCCGTGCTAGGAGGACTTGCAGGCGCGTCCTCCTAACAATCCACGTTTGACAGACAGCGTCGGTCATGCCGTACACATTCCAGACAGCCCAACGCTGGCAACAAGTCTGTAACACGGTAGACCGCATGGGCTGAACATGTGCAAGAAACAATGGAAGGAGATCTACAGAAATCCATCCTGGGGGCCGCTAGTAAGCTACATGTACGTGCACGCGTATGAGTTTCTCTTTTCACACTGAAACTCCTCCAGTGCGCTCTCTGATAAAACATACCGTTGTTTATTACGGACGTTGTTTGGGCAATGGGTATACCGATGAATACTGAGGTATGTTAGGATAAAAAGTACATGTAGCTCGGATACCAAGAACACTGGCCTGTTCCCCAGGGGGTACGTTTTATCAGAGTTCACTGCAGTCTCCGTGCCCCAAAGCACAGTCAGTCCTTACGCAAAAAGCAGAACTGCAAGCACTGTAAGTGTAAGTGTAAGTGTAAGTGTAAGTGTAAGTGTAAGTGTAAGTGTAAGTGTAAGTGTAAGTGTAAGTGTAAGTGTAAGTGTAAGTGTAAGTGTAAGTGTAAGTGTAAGTGTAAGTGTAAGTGTAAGTGTATGTGGTACATGTATATGTAGGTTAAGCAGCCTGTAGGCATTGGCGGATAATGCTCGAAAAGGTGGCAGATTCTGCTCGAAAAGCAGTGAAATTGGCAGGACCATACAAACCTTATGGCGTGCAATTCCTCAAATTTTGCTCTATTTATTTATCAACATACGAAACATGGCAGAATGAAATTGAAGACACCACTGCAGCTGTACTTATTGTTGATAAATATGGTGGTAAAGACACACCTGGCAATATGGCGGTAAACACACGCCTGCCCACACACGCTCTCTAGGCTGCAAAGTTCTGGCACAGAGTTCTCCTTCTCACCACCACCACCATCAGTTCGCGCCTGGCGCCTGGTCGATGCATCCAAGACATCCAAGAAGAAGATTGCCTGATGAGTCCAGCGGGGACGAAACGTACGTCGCAATCGAGCTATGTCGTTGCTGTGTCATCATCTATGTGCCATGCGCTACTTGATGTACCAGCCTGCTATGCCGGATACCGCCAGCCATGCATCGACCAGGCGCCAGGCGCGAACTGATGGTGGTGGTGGTGAGAAGGAGAGCTCTGTGCCAGAACTTTGCAGCCAAGAGAGCGTGTGTGGGCAGGCGTGTGTTTACCGCCATATTGCCAGGTGTGTCTTTACCACCATATTTATCAACCATACCAAACATGCATGAAACTTACCAGAAAAAGTACCGAATTCTGCCAATGTTTCTGCCGGCATTATCCGCAAAGGCCTAGCAGCAGGCAAGACAGGAAAAATCGAGTATATTGGCAGTACTAGTACCTCATTCTCAGAAAAGATGTTCTACAACGTATGGGCAGAGACATACATGTCGCACTGACAACAGATGAACTTTGATACTAAAGTTGTGATAAACTTAGTCTAAAGTGGCCAAGTTAGCGAAGTGTGATGTCAATATATCGGTGTATGAGTTGAAATAGAGATGATTTTTTTAAATATCTGCTCAATGGCGTTCATATCTGTCTGCGCAGATAAGAGAGTCATTAATCCATATCACTCTGGACAGTAGGCAACCACCAGCCACAAAACAGGAGCAAATCTACAATATTTATACTTCTGAAGTATGGCCTTACAACATGTCAACACTCGGTGGAAACACCGGCCGATGTTAAGAGAGTGGATGATTGCCAACCACGGCGAAAAACAAAAGTAAGGGGAGGGAAAACGAAAGAGTAGCAAACTCAACACCAACAACTCAGTAAAGAAAAAGAATGTCAAATAAAAACAGTGACAGTCAACAGAGTACAATGCTTCGGACAGGCTTTAAATAGTAGCAGGATCAATGCAGGGTCATTCCAGCAAAAACTGGAGAGGTTGACAAAGTCCGGTTTTTCTTCATTACGATGCGGCTACGACAGCCTACAAGGCCCAAAGACCGTCTTGAAGTTGTGTAAGGCGTAACATAAGGCCTACTTTCAAAGCAGGAGACCGAAACCTTTCGAGAAGTCACACACGATACGTCAAGTACAGGTTCTGCACGTTAGAGGTGTAAAATGTTTGCTGTTTGTATTTATTTTGATTCGCAAATTCAAACGGGCATAGAACCCAATAACAAAGAAAGCGAATATGAAAATTATAATGAGAATGAGAATTAAAATACTTAGACCTGTACGGTACATGTACATGTAGCTCCTTCAACTTCAGGTCTCCGTTTCAGCGATCCTTTAGTTAACTTCACATACTTGTGAGCCTGCGGATTCACTTGCCAGGTTACTGTTTTTCACCGAGGATTGTGCAGATGGTGGAGAACTTCTTTCACGAATGGAAACATTCGCAGTGTGCCATCTTCTATATCGCTTGCGGAGTGCCGAACGAAATGCTGTGTCCAGTGGAATCTTGAGAAGAAAGGTTGCTACTCCCGTTACGGAGGCGAGTGCCATGAGCAATAGGTTTCCCTGTGTTACTGTCAAAAAGAACAGAAGAAAGCAAAAGCTCCAGGTCAAGCCGACCAGGAGGAACGTGGATCCGGCGACTCGCGCCTGATGGAGGTAGTGCAAAAGGCCAGCGTCCGTGCCTGGCTGACTCCTTGACGTCTGTATCTTTGCTCTGTGCATGATCCGTGCGAAGAGAACCCCACAAGTCAGCATGCTGAATAGGAACGGGATGATGCGACTCAGGGTATCTCCCACTGTATGCTCCTTCTGGCACCTGCGACAGTCGACACATCATACGCAGCAAAAAAGATACAGGAGCTCAAATCTAGTGACTCCAGAAGGCAATCATAATATCTTACCAACAGTGCTCCATATATTTGAACGTTTAATTGAAGGAACAATTGGAGGAGCAGACATAGTCTTTTGAAGTAATTATAGGGGAAGTCCGGTGAAAAATATAAATTTCAGAGTTTGGGATAGCGACTGGCACATAATGCCCGGAAAAAAGCAATTCTGCTTTTAGTCTGCTCAAAATTCCGCTCGAAGGACTTGAGGTTCTGCTGATTTGTCTGCTCGAAAAGTGCTCATCCGGTTGCATTACTTTATCTGACAGAGGTGATGTGCGGGCCATTGAGACCTGAAGTCCCGTCTCCACACGAAGCACCTTAGGTGCGCGTCGCTCAGGGCTTTTTCATGGGATGAATTTCGGGTTGTTCCGGTCGGGCAGCATCGCGGACTATTCCATAGTTTTCAGTGTCGAGAAAACACTGGCCATGAGAAATTTCAAGGCGGTGAGACAATTTCGTCTTCCTCTATGAGCGAACTTGTTTTCAAGTACATGTATGCAATATAATATATATACTCAATCTGCGGACAGAACGGTTTCGTCCTTTGTGGACTCGTCATATATATTTTTTTATTTTTTATTTTTTTACTAGAGCCACGTAAACCCGTCATGTGTGAGCCATGAATAAGGGGAGTGGTGGCGTGGTCTGGGATGCTCTGCCGACCTTGGGTCTCGGCTTCATCACAACCAGGCGCGCCAATAGAAGAGAGAGAAAGAGAGGGAGAGCTAGAGAGAGAGAGAGAGAGAGAGAGAGAGAGAGAGAGAGAGAGAGAGAGAGAGAGAGAGAGAGAGAGAGAGAGAGAGAGAGAGAGAGAGAGAGAGAGAGAGAGAGAGAGAGAGAGAGAGAGAGAGAGAGAGAGAGAGAGAGAGAGAGAGAGAGAGAGAGAGAGAGAGAGAGAGAGAGAGAGAGAGAGAGAGAGAGAGAGAGAGAGAGAGAGAGAGAGAGAGAGAGAGAGAGAGAGAGAGAGAGAGAGAGAGAGAGAGAGAGAGAAGAGAGAGAGAGAGAGAGAGAGAGAGAGAGAGATAGAGAGAGAGAGATAGATAGATAGAGAGAGAGAGAGAGGAGAGAGAGAGGAGAGAGAGAGAGAGAGAGAGAGAGAGAGAGAGAGAGAGAGAGAGAGAGAGAGAGAGAGAGAGAGAGAGAGAGAGAGAGAGAGAGAGAGAGAGAGAGAGAGAGAGAGAGAGAGAGAGAGATAGAGAGAGAGCGGGGAGGGTTGGGGAGCAGGAGAACTAAATAAGAGAACTAAATAAAGTATAATAAAAAAATGAGAGAGAGAGGGAGAGAGAGAGAGAGAGAGAGAGAGAGAGAGAGAGAGAGAGAGAGAGAGAGAGAGAGAGAGAGGGGGGGGGAGAGAGAGAGCGAGCGGGGAGGGTTGGGGGCAAGAGAGGGGAGAGAACTAAATAAAGTATAATTATAATTATAATGCGTAAGGGGTGCACATTCAGATCCAGAGAAAGAGTAAGCAGGGCACGAGGCGTATGGTAAAAATTTCGAGTGAGGAGGCATGTGCACTGTACAGTGCACTGGATGCGCTGGCGGTGCAGTTGTCTTGAATTTTCGCCATTCTCCCATCACTTCCATTCATTTTCTGTTTCCAGCGAAAGTCCAAATTGGTGCACATCAAATCACTATCTCAAGAATGGCTGGGCGGATTAGATTAACTTGAGTACTTGTAGATTCCTATTATTATGCTATGCTCTGGAGAATCGAATGAGACCACAATCGAAGGGATTGGAGCAAGTTTGAAAATCAGGTGAAGTCACTGATGTCAGCTTACTTTGTCGGCATTGCTGGCTTAGGATTATCAGGTGTGCCGAGGTCAAATCCTGCTGCAAGCCTAGTAATCAAGACTATCGATCCAGAAGTACCTGCAGGATCGAGGCAAGAGAAAAGAAAAGGGCAATATCAGTGCCACCTTGACCTACGACGGCCGTCCGTTGCATTTTTAAATTTAAATTACTTGTAAAATGTATGAGGACCAGTTCGTTCTCGTGCGGGCACTTCTACCAATACTAGTATGGTATGTGTCTTGGTATTGCACGTCGTTGACCAGGGACCTTGGAAGTTCGTCTTTGTCCTAGGGCACTTACGTAGGGGCATTGAGGGCTTCGGGTGTTGAATTTCGTAGGTTTAGATTCGCTGCGCTGGGACCAATTTAAACCCAACCCCTTCCTAAAACGCTTGTTCCGCAACTCACCAACGTATAACAATACCTTAAAGTAATGTTTCTAGGATCCCCCAGTGGGGATATCTTGTGTGCAGAAGACATAGTGCCGAAGTGTGGGTGGTTTATTCTTCTTACCGTATGTGGCTAACGTTGCTTTGCGAACGTAACGACTGATGGGTGGTTTGTGGCCGGCACAAACTCGTCTGTGCAGATGAAACGCCTGCACTACTGCTAGAAGGAGGATCGATATCATGAAGAACATCTGTAGCACGTTGATGAAGACACAAGACAACAGGGTCCTCTCATTTCCTATAATGAAATGTGCCAGATCCAGTAAGACAACCATCCAGAACGCCGCACACTGGTGCGTGAATATAACACCGCTGTTATCTCGGCGAAGTTCCCTGTGCAAAGCAACACACCATCGCGAAAACAACACCCACTTGAAATGACAGGGTTGTTCTTCAAGTTCTATTTTGCCTCACCAGAATGTACAGGCTATGACACCCGGTTCTCCCGGGATCATGAAAAAGTCAAGAGTGGTGAGAATTGACTCGGATGGAGAGCCAAGGATTAATTAATTTTATGGGAAAGAAAAAGGAACAGGGAGTTACGAGTTACGCTATAATGTCCACTAACACCACCAACTTGGAACCATTCAAGTTGGAAGGCAGTTGGAATGCACATCCAAGATGTGCTAGAGCTGTTAGCCAGTCAGTGTCGTGCAATGTTATCGCATGAGCTGATTATTTAGTGACTGGTGGTGTTAGTGGACATTATAGCGTGTCTTGTACTTCCTTGGTTTTTCTCCTTTTCTATAAAGTGAAAATTTATCCACTTTTCCACACAGGATGGAAACATGAAAAAATTATAATGAAACCAATAAATAAAAACTCAGATGCATGTTGAGCCAATAGTAATAATGTAAAGAGAAAAGGGCCTCTAAGTTACTAGTTATGACCAACAGTCCACCAAGGTAACGAGATAATGTACACTTAGATAGTGCGACAACGAGGTACAAAACTGACAAGGATATTGAGACATTCGACGATCTGACACCTACATGACAACATGTAGCTGGAGCCCATCTACGAAGCGCAAAGCAACAACCTTTCAACTTGGAAGGCGCAGGTGCGAAAAGTTCCAATGAGGTGAAGGGATGCGCCACGGCGATGTGTACGAGCTATGTCCCAAGGCAACATGGAATGAGTAACGCTACGCGATGATGATGTCGGGACTAGTAAAGGACCTTTGGACAAACCGGTCTAACAACAACTCAAAAACGCTACCTCTCAAAAACGCTACCTTGGTGGACTTTTAGTCATAACTAATAACTTGTAGGTCCTTTTCTCTTTACAAACCAATACACGTGCACATGTAATTAGCAATAGAGGCTTCTCAAAGAAGACTTACATGAACAGTACATTAATTTTAACTATAGTGCTGGCAACCGAAATCCGACCCCCTGAGCGGTGGGTTCACATTCTAGCGGTCTCTGTTTCGCATCCCGAGTTGGGTCCTTGCGATGTGAGCGCACCGCTCAGGGGTCGGATTTCATTTACCAGCACTGTAGAAAGCAATGATAATAACGCAGGGCGGTAATGATATATATTATTATCGCAAATAGCTACATTGCAGAAGCCATCACTTCGCAGTACAGAACACTGAGGTACATGTACATGTGTGAGTGTAGACACAGTCAGCCAAAATTGTGGAAGTCTGTGACCAGTGTGTTTTGCCCTGTGAATATTAAAAGAATTCGTTCTTTTTAAGAGTCTACAATCGCCACAGACTGTATCGTGGTCGCTGGCCAATCAAGGCATGTCAAGTTTGGAATAATGGCTAGTACTCTAGCACAGAGGTAAGCAGGGTCGGGTGCCCCTGAACAGTTTGTGGCGGACTGAATGAAACCAGCCTATGCACGTTTGAACTTAAATGAGTTCAAAAGATAATAAATTAACAATCTACTGTTTACTGTACTTACGGTAGTGCTAGGTAAAACGCTAGGCAGAGAGTAAGGAGGGTCAAGGCTACTGACAGACAGGCGCGTGCCAATGACAGCTCAACTTCCGTATAGTGGACAATGCTTGAGTTGGTCATGTCCTCTTGGATGGAGTGGTTTTCACAGAGCCAAACCCTCGCCCAGGCGACGTCGTGGTCTAAAGCCGGAAAGTTTAGGGCAATGAAAAGAAGAACAACAAATGCATTTGATCGACGCGGAGACAACGATTTCAAAATCACAACAAAGAGAGCAAGTTCTACTGTCATCGCCACACTACAACGATGTCATGAAAGTTTCAAAATCGATTTTCCTGTCACATATTATTTGTGCCCTTTGCACCCAGTTCTCACTGCACTTCCATTGTCTCACCTTTCTTCATTCTAGTTTGGCACCATATTTTGTTTAATCATTGTTTAGCACGGATATGTCTCTTCAGCCACGACATTTCGCTGATGAATGGGACAGGAAAATTTATTTTGGAAAACGTTCATGACTTCGTTGTAGTGTGACGATGACAGCAGAATTTGTTCTCTTTATTGCTATTGTTTAAACACATGCAATGGTTGTTTATAAAAAAAACTTCAATCGTGTTGCATTTATCCATTAGCACAACAACTATTCCTGATGAGTGTTGTGTCAAAACCTGTTCGAATCATTTCTACATTGTTATTTTCACTATTATGCCTTTTCCTTTTGTTACTGCATACTGTTTTCCACATATTGACACCGTTACAGAAGGTAGCCACTTGTCCGTTCGACAAGTTCCCTTGATCGTCTATAAGTATCTTGCCCACTACACAGGAACTCGAGTTGTTCCTGCTGACTTATATTTACCCTTGAAACTCATGTCTCCTTCCAATAGCACACGATAATTCCATCGAGCACTACACTCCGTAAACCAACAAGATAGCACCAATCCCTTCTCGGCGGCAAAACCTATTGACCGACTGACACCAAATTGTACAACAGTAGATACTTAGAGATGAAATGAAGCAATAAAACGAGTACTGTATCCTTACCGGATAGCCAGTCTTCCATCGCCGACATTGCTGCCAAGTTGTTCACCTAAGCAGAGGAACAGGAGTTACACAACACCTTTCATTACTTTTTTATTTTGAAAGTCGGAAGGAGGTACACTTCTACATGGCGTTTGTGGCTCTCCCACGCAAGGGATGACTTAGTCTCTGCTAATCACGCCCAGCTGTCACGTTTTTATGAATGATAATGACACTCCAGTCAGACTATGCAATGTCATGCACAGCACTGACATACGAAATCCGACCTCATCAATAAAATAGCGCCGGGCGCTACGCAGCCATAACACTACAACAAACACTGTTCTGTGCACTCAAACGCTGCGCTACCTTATTCATGAGGTTGGATTTCTCTGGCCAGCACTTTACGTGACAAGATCGTTCTGGAGACACATTCGTCAAAACATCAACCAGACGAGTGAATTGGGCGAAAGCAGTCCTTATTATATTTTCAAGTTATTTGTTATCTTATTTTTAGATGTATCTGTGCCCTAGTTTTCGAGGGTTGTTGCTTTCCCACGCGAGAGGAGAATTTGAATAGTAATCATTCAAACATGACTGTAATCCGCATAAAGAATGTTTTGCGCTGCACTAATTCCCTAAGCTACTCTCAATTTCTCTTTGGCAAGCAAACCAAAATTTAATCACAGCCGACACTGCGAAGCATGTGCATGCACATGTATTTAAAAGCTGTTACAATATCATTGCGTATGTTAGTCCGTTCGATTTTAGATGAAATACATGCAGTTCCAAACTACAAGGCATACCTGATATACCGCGCTCTTTACACGTGTTGCCGATCCATTGATGTGTCCCGGGGTATATGCACATCCTATCAGGAAAGACGTTTTGTCTTCCCTAAAGATGTCTAACTTGTCATGAGACGATGTGTTCGTAGCGTTCAGCTTCCTGCATGGTTGCATGCATACGCTTAGCGTCACGTTTGAAGTCTCGCCATCACTACTGTTCAGAAGTAAGCTACCGTCTAGAAGCTCTGCGACGAAGTTACCACCGAGACTACTTGCTACCTCGTTCACATCACTGCAGCTGGGATAACTGCTTCCATTCTCCAACCAAAACGCAGTACTGACAGGACTAGATGTGTCAGCTGTGTGGACGTCCAGGACGGTTGCATTGTCCGTGTTAAGTGTAGTGTCCGACACTGTACCATGAATCACTGGAGAAAACAGGAATAACCGCACAAAGCGCGCTGACGCTTATCCACAACATCAAAGCCAATATTTGGGGAAGACGATGGACAATGTGGCATGATAATTTCAATACAGTGGAGTGTATCCAGTATATCCTTGACGAATTGGGAAGATTTACGGTTGACAATAAACAGAACCAGCTGAAGCGTGATTTCACGAAGGTTTTATTGAGATGTTGCGAACTCATACTAGAGATAGTCGTGATGGACAAACATATAACTATGATGGACATGTAAAGTGAAGAACGATAATAGAAATGATGAAAAAATATAAAAATGCATCCTTCTATCTTTCGCACAACGCTCATCAGGAAGCATCGTTGTACTAATTATTAACAAATTGCAACACAGACTATTATTTATAGGACTAATAGTGATAATTAACACCTAAAGAATGCCAAACAATTATCACAAAGTATCCTTGCAAGATACCATGTGCGTGAAAGATAACAATCAAACACTCAAAGGGACAAAATGCAAGTATGAAACAACACTAGTGACAAACTTCTGGCCCGAAGAGGCCAGGCTTACACAACAATATACCGGTTGAGCAATTTCAAATAGATAATGCTCTCCTTTTGAACACAAAGGTCAGGCTTATGAATGCGTTGGAAAACAGTCTCCACCACCTTCACCTGTAACTGATAACGATGAGGTCCACGATACAAAACGGAGAAACATGAATCAGAATACACTTGGCACCATTGAGGACGAGGTACCAAAATGATTATACACAGAAGACTTACGACGTCGAAACACGCGCCCACACTCACTCTCACACTCTCCCAAACCCACTGTCTCTCCCTCACTCAACTCTCTGCTAGACGTTCCTCCGCCAGTGCCGTTTCCGCCATCGTCCTCATCGTTGGCGATCATGTCCAGTGTTGCTGTCACGCTGGGTCTTCTTCTGTGTCGTTGTTGTTTGCCGATATCATAGTTCCTGATGAGCGTTGTGCGAAAGCTAGTTCGATTCATTTTTATATTTTTCATCGTTCCTATTATTGTTCTTCACATTACATTTCCATCATCGTTATTTCTTTGTCCATCACCACTTTCTCTAGAATTTGTTCGTGGCATCTCTATAAAAACTTCGTCAAATGACGCTTAAGTTGATTCTGTTTATTGCCATCCTTAAACTCTTATCACCTCCCCGTTTTTCAAATTGGGAAGATTGCCACTTTAAGTTACAACATTGCTTACAAAAGAAACTTACGCAATGAAACTAGTATCACTGAATATGTCCATACGCTTTGGATCGCTAGTACTCTGGCGGTGCTGCCCAGCTGCATCTCTCAAATTCAGTTCACGAGAGCATCTACCAAATCCGAAAGCGATCACCTTACACTGACATGCACCATGAAACATTAGCGGCAACTGACAACATCAGGTGTAAACCTTCTCCACATCGCACTACACCGTTGCGAAATCTCGCAGGGTTCTATCTACCAGTAAGTGGGATCCACGAAGGAGCTCCTATGGAGTACGAAAGTAAGCGTACAGTACATATAGATGCTCGAGGTCAATGTGTGTGTGTGTGTTGCTAACCGTTGGAGCGCTGTTCTGGACCTACCGGCACATGACTTCATGCTACCGGTGGTCGACTACCCTCAACCGAGACTCTACATCGACGCGGTGCTCAGAAATACACGCACCGTAGACTGAATGATATTTTTGCTGCACGACGGACTTGGGGCTTCACTTATACTGGGCGATGCTCAGTTAACACGAGACTGTACAGGGAAGTACATTTCGTTGCTCTTGACCGATAAGAGGGAGAGCCCGTCCCCGTACAAGGCGTATTTCGGATTATTCAGTAGGCATTTGGTACTCTGTATGAGTGAGTCTGTTCTCTGTGGACAGTTTGTCCAGCCCATAATTATTATATCAAGAGTACATACCCCCCCCCCCCCACACACACACACATATGGGGTGTGTGTACATGTCTATGCATACAGGTAGTCATTGGTGAGGTAAACCATAAACATGTTTAACGTACCGGATATGTGAACGCGTGTGACCCAAGTCAATGGACCCATGTGTGCTATGATGTCACACGGATTCAAAACATGCGAAAGCCAGTACTGTCAAGAAAAACGAATTGATTTCGACACAAATGACAACCTTGTTTGGATAGGAGTGGGGGTGCATGGGAGGGGTTTTCAATACAACCCATCAGGCATCCAAACATATGTTTTGATTTCTCTGCACGTATATTTTATCTGAGTCGAAGTGTCACCACCTTCACCTTGCTATTCGAGCCCATACCATGAAATCAAGAATGACAAGAAAGACTTCGAAAAAGCAAGTTCTCTTGTGACAATAATCAAAAACGAAAGAGAAGACGAAGCTTCGAAGGCCGTTAAGCTCATAGAATACTTTGGTTTCGTGCTTCGGAAACTTCTTCGGCTCAGCACCCTCACAGCTTGCACAATGCGCTCCATTCTGAGTTTTCACTCACACTCAGGCGGAACCCGTTTCAGCCTCCATAAACCGTAATATCCTGAGTCAGCAGACGGCTGTCCGTGGGTCACTGAGTATCGTGATTATCCACATGCGGGGAATCTCAGGGCTGTCCCATACATGTACAATCATGTACATGCACATGCATGATAATTATTATGGTCCAAGTCCCTTGTGAGAGCACGCACCTGTCATTAGCAATCCACCGTTGATAGGCAGCGCTTGACAAGACCCTCCCAGTCTCTCATTCAGGGCAGCTCAGGACCACTAGCAACAAGTCTGCAGAAATGGTCGGTAGACTGCACGGACTGTTGGTACTTGCATATGTACATGTACATGAAGATCTACAATATACATGTGGAAGATCGAAGGATTACAGCACGTTCATGGACATGTACATGTCGTACCAGTCCTGCGGCCACTGCCGGTATGCTGCGTGCACGAACTGGCGAAGTTGAGTTTCTCCGCTCACACTGGAACTCACTTAGTGCGTGCACGTCATGCAGGTATATTTTAAGGACAAACCTAAAAGCAAGAGCCTCTCGAGGTTTTCATAACGAAAATACATGTAACTATTGTTTAGTCGATAGCAGATAATGGCCTCAGAGGCGAATGGATACAGTGCACAGTAAGAGTCTGGTGACACCTTAGCAAAGAAATTCAGCAATGCATTTATGTGGAATGATAGATCTCGCACTTAGAATTTAATTATTGGAAATCAGAAATGCATGTACATAATATGTAGAAGAGGCGGGAGGGAAATTCCAAAGGGGGCCAATCCCTGTATAAAGGCATGGATAAGATTGATCGGAAATGATAGTTCAATACTATTTTGAAGTATTCTATTTGGGACAAGGGAACATTATTTAAAGAGTCATGTAGAACAGTTTATGGGTGGGAGTGAATATATTACTACCTGGACTAGACGGGTGGAGCTGGAACTGTGCTGGTCAAACTGGAATATCACATCCAACCTGAGGTCTTGGCTTCAGCGATACTTAGTTCAATTACACAAATTTATACGTCTGCAGACACACTTGTCCGGGCACTGTTATTCCATGGCGCTGAGGATAATGCCGACGGTCTTCGATCCAGAATGGAGACATTGGTCATATGCCATCTTGCATATCGTCTGCGCAGTGCTGAACGAAAGGCTGTATCGAGCGGAATCTTGAGCAGAAACGTTGCCACTCCCATTATCGAGATGAGCACCATGAACACCAGGTTTGCCTCAGCTACTGAGATAAATAACATCACAGAACCTACGAGCCACGCCAGGCCGACAAGGACGAACATCGATCCCGCGACACGCGCCTGCTGCAGATAATGCAGAGCGCCAACGTCTTTGGCTGGCTCATTCCTTGCAGTCTGCGTCCTGGCTGTATACATGATCCGTGCGAAGAGAAAACCAGAAATCGCCATTGCAACTAGAAACGGGAGAGAGGCGCTCAGGATATCTCGCAGTTGTTGCTCTCGCTGGCACCTGCAACAGTAGACACAATGTAAGCAGCGAAAACGAATTCAGAAGTTGAGGACAAATCACACCAGACGACAATCATTGTTAATTAATTTTTCACGAAGTTGGTTGCTCCTGAAATTGTAGGAGCAAACACCTTTGTTAACTTAAAAGGCTATTGGCCCCACCGGCTTTATCTACTTGGTCCGACTTATTGAAATGTGCGCTTCGCTTCAAAACTCAAGCCTATGTCCAAAGGAGCACCTGTACTAAAAAATCGACCAAGAGACGATAGATAGATAACTACTGTGTCGTTTCTTGGCCAGACCTTCTAGTTTTCATCTCTGCTGGTGTCTCAGGGCGCTTCTTCAAGTGCGTCAACCTGCAAAACGTCGACATTTTTTTCATCTCCTCCAAGCTACACTGGGCTTCCTTGATTTTTTCACTCCATATGCACGATTTAGACGATCGACTTCGCCTCCTCCTCGTGCAGCACGACTGCCAGAATGGTGGCTGTAGGTGTTTTCGCCTGACGCTCCCACGACACTTTCAAATGAGGCGAACAAGTAAACCACCACGCATAAAAAAATCACTTCTCATCACCGTGTGCCGCGCGCGTAGAACTACTGAGTCTGATCTGTGTCGACATGACTGTCACACATGTGCACAGTCAGCTGCATCAGACCATGACTGTGTGCTCTTCCCTGCCTGTTTCACGAATCCACTGGCCCCGGAGACTGGCGATCTTCAATTCTTGTGACGCATCGCGATCGCGGGTCCGAGGAGTCCGCTAGGACTCCGCACCATTCACGTATTCACCCTTTCTGCGCTTCAGTTTTCCAGCCAGGTTGTCGCCTGAAAGTCGACCTCAAGGGCGGTTGTTTATATCGATCAACTTCTCGACGATCTCTTCTGTGCTCTTGATTCGTCGGCCGCCACATCGTGAACGATGCGAGAGAGATCAGCACAAACTGGACGGAGCGATGCAGGTGCTTTCTGCACGAGTTTCTGGATGACGGGTTTGCTGAACTTGATTCTTCCAAGGAAACAGCGACTGCAGCGATTTCAATCCGCCAGGAAGCACTCGAGAACGATCGGCCAGGAGTTTCTGGTACTCCGTGACAATTCCCCATCGCAGTGGGATGTTGATTTCAGCCCCAGGCCTTCTCTGTGTTGCGCGAGAAGCAACAGGAGTCCTCTGACGACAAAATCCGCACCCAAAATGCTCGAGTCGACTAGGATCCTGAGACGCTGCCTCCTTTGGAGTTGGAGCCATTTCTTCTTCAACATCACAAATCGACAACTGAAGGATAGTGTTAGGTAGCTGGAAAGTTTGTTCCGTCCTGAGATTATTTGAATTTGTTTGGCTGACGTTCGAAGCGAAACGCACATTTCAATCATAAAGCAATAATAATAATAAATATCGCATGAGCTGATTGTTAAGTAACTGGTGGTGTTAGTGGACATTATAGAGCAACTTGTATTTCCTTGGTCCTCTTCTTTGTTATAAATAAATATAATCCTTGGCTCTCCATCCGAGTCTATCCTCCTACAGAAAGAAACAATAATTTCAGTCAGATAGTGCCACAACTAGGCACAAACCTGACGAGGGATTACGTAGACGTTCAACGACGGCCTGGCACCTACATGTACATGTAGCTCGAACACATCTACGAAGCGTAACCATCCCTATGCTGGATGTAAGCTTACTTTGTCGGCATTGCGCTCTTCGGATTGTCCGGTGTGCCCAGGTCGAATCCCGCTACAAGGCGAATAGTCAGGACTATCGATCCAGAAATGCCTGCGGGAGCGAGGCAGGAGGGAAAAAAGGGAGAAAAAAGATCAAAGGTCACCTTGACGTAACACACCTAGACAAATATTAGAAATAATATGCTTTGTAGATTAGTTCATCTCAGTACCGAAACTTCTACAGACACTAGATTGTGTCTTGGCATTGCAAGTCCCGGGCCAATGACCATGCAAGTAGAGTAAAACCTGTGACTAGCGACCACCCCTTGGCGACAGAGAAAGCGGTCTTTAGTGGCAGGTGGACCTCAGTTAGAGGTTCGCACCTCACAACCATTATGTGAATGGGCGACCGTCCGTGCCTGGCGCAGTGGTCTGCAGTACCAGGCTGATCGCTAGTCACGGTGGTTTTTAGTTACAGTTTTTGCTGTACATGTACATGATTGTACAAACAAGAGCGGTCGACGCAGCTAGAAGCCGAGTGCATAAAAGCACAAACTAATGTGGAGAGCAATACAAAAATAACTGAGGCGGAAGGCTGCGTAGCAGGGGGAAGACATCGTATTATAGTGTTTTTGTTTTTTTGTTGCTACTTACCGTAGGCGGCTAACGTTGCTTTGCGAACATAATGACTGATGGGTGGCTTGTGGCCGTGACAGATGTGTCTGTGCAGTTGAAAAGCCTGAGCTGCTGCTAGAAAGAACACCGAGTTCATGAAGAAGACCAAGAGGATGTTGATGAAGATGCACGACAAGAGGGTCCTGTCGTTTCCGACTATGAAATGCGCCAGGTCACTGATGATAACGATCCACAAAGCCGCACACTGGTGCACGAAGATCACACCGCTGGCATCCCGTCGAAGTTCTCTGTGCAAAGCAACACACAATCGAGGCATTAAAACACTGGTTTACAATTTTGCCACATTGGATGGAGGCAGACAACAATAATATGAATATTTAGCCATGGTGAGCTGTGTAAAGGTTTACTATCGTCACATGTCGTGGCCACGGGCCATTCAGGCTTGGGCAAAGTGTGGAACACTAGCAAAGCCTCTAGCATAGAAGTAAGAATGGTCAGTTGTACAGTTTGCTGCAGATTGAATCAAAACCAGCCTACTCACACTGCAATGGAGTTAAAAAGAAGACTCGTGAAACCAGAATAAGTTAATTATTATGTATACTCACGGAAAGGCGATGTGAAACGCCAGGCAGAGAGTAAGAAGAGTCAACGCCACTGACAGACATGCTCGTGCCACTGCCAGCTCACGTTCCGTGTTGTGGACAACCTTTGGGTCTGTTATGTCCTTTGGCGTGGTGTCGTTTGCACAGAGCCAGACCTTCATCCAGGCGCCTTGGTGGCCTAAGCGCAATAAGAAAGCGAAACAAATTCAAAATTTCCCTTTGCTCTGGGTAGCAGTCGCGTATCGTTCAACTGTCAATTCAAGTCTGCAGGAAACCGCGCGACCTCCCGTGCAGTGATCACCATCATGTGAGTTAGGAGGGAACAACGAGGGATGCTCTGCATGCTTTGTGCCGTCAAATGGTGTGTGGTTTTTGTAAAAAATACGAAAAAAGGAAAAAAAGCCACGTGCTCACCAAATAGCCAGTCTTCCAGCGCCGAAGATGCTGTCGAGTTGCTGAGCTACATGCAAGTAAACGAACAAGATTTGCAAAAAACTTTCACCCCACTTTTGAATTCACCAGGTGACAATTTTGCAGGGTTAATGAATGGAAAGTGTAGGCCACATGAAGAATGTTATGGCCCACACTCATTGTCTTGTGCTTTCAATTTCTCTACTGTAAGCAAACTAAACACCAAGGAAACAGTGTGACATGTAGTAAGCCGTCGTGACAGCATTGGGTGTGTTTGTCCGTTCGACTTAACATTTCCAATAAAACAAAATAAATACAGTTCCAGAATACCGGGGCATACCTGATATATCACGCTCTGTAAACGTGTTGCTGACTCGTCGACTTGGATGTGTTCTGCGGCATACCCACATCCTATGAGGAAGTATATCTCTTCTTCCCTAGGAATGTCTGCGTTGTCAAGAGATGATGTGTTCGTAGCGTTCGGATTCATGCATGGTTCCGTGCACACGCTCAGCGGCAAATTTGAAATTTCTCCGTCACTCATGTTCAGGACTGAGCTACCGTCTAGAAGCGCTGCGACGAAGTGACCACCAAGACTACTTGCTACCTCGTTCACATCACTGCAGCTGGGATATCTGCTTCCATTCTCCAACCTGAACGCAGTACTGACAGGACTACATGCGTCAGATGTGTGGACATCCAGGACGGTGGCATTGTCCGTACTACCTGCAGTGTCCGACACGATGCCATGAATCACTGGAGAAGCATGAATGTCAGCACAGAACACACAAATACCATGGTTCTCAACACCAAAGAAATTTTTGGAGAATAGGATTGGCAATGTGGTAGGATAATTGTAATACAGGACTAGGAGAGAGTCTTCTTGACGACTCGGGAAACAGTAGCTGTCCACAACTTACCGAATGAAGATTGTCATTTAGCCTATAAATTTCTTAGGATTGTATAGGAAAGAAAAAGGACCAAGGATGTACAAGTTACGATACTGTCCACTGCCATAATGTGTTAGCTTACGGAGCAATCACTGCTGCTGGCTACTGCTGTTCAATGGTCCATTTAGATATTCATTGTCGAAGTATAGTAGTGTATTACTCAACACGGCACTTTATAATATTTTTATTATTCAGGCGTTTAGTTTTGCACGATTTGTGTTCGCTTAGCTCCCCTTCTAGTTGGTCATCGACATAGAGCCGCATAACTTAGTTGTGTGGTATGTTGCTTTGCGTCTTTGAATCGTGGTTTGACCGTATTGTCCAATGGTCTTGTAAACAAAAAGGAGCGTCATCAATATACTGATGAAGATCCGCGAACGAACTCCACAGCAGAGACTTTCTGATTGTGCTTTGTCGTGATTCCGCGCACATTCCCCTCCTATGTCTATAACTTGTAACTCAGCACCTTCCCAGTAGTTAGAAGGCTGTTGGATCGTGCGTCTACGACGTGCTAGAGCTGATTGGCAACTACTTCTGAATTAGGTGTAGAACGCCAGCACCGTTGGTCAGCGTCGTGCAATGTTATCGAATGAGCTGATTGTCAACTAAGTGGTGGTGTTACTAGACAATATAGCATGACTTGTAGTTCCTTGGACCACTTTTTTTCCTATAAGATCATTATAAAAGACCCTTCGACTCTGAGTCATACAAGAAACTAACTCTCCTCCGTTCAACAGTTGATTGACACCCTTCGAGCCTATAATAATAATGTTATTATTGCAAATGAGGAAAAACTTACGTAAAGATACTAGTAGCACGGAGCATGTCCCTACGCGTCGGAGCGCTAGCATGTTGGCACCGTTGACCACCCGCATCGTCCAAACTCAACACGTGAAGAATATCTCCCGATTAAGACTCACAATCAATCACCTTACTCGCACAGACAATAACGTGACTCTAAACAATAACTAAACAACAACTCCTTTTATATCAGAGTAGACCATCCTCACACCGTATTACGCGGAGAAATATTGGCGACTACGGTGTGTGTGTGGGGGGGGGGGGGGGGGGGGGAGGGTGATTTTATGCTACAGGTGGTCGACAATGCTCAACTCTGAAAACTGTCCAGAAATACATTTAATGTAGACGGAAGACTGTTTGGTGGTAAGGCACTTACAGTTTCATGCACGGCACGATCGCCTGTGAATACGAGATTCCACGGGGAAGTAAAATGCCACGCTCCTGAGCGATAAGATAAGAAGACAAAGAGTCCCGGCCCTGTTCTAAGCGAGTCATCATTTCCTATTGTCTTTGGGCAATCCTATTGTCTATCAAGGCATCTAGATACCAATGTTTTGTTCCACGAAACGAGATATTTCCTCCGTGTGGTGGGAAGGGGATGAACAATTTCGTTTCAGACAACATCCACAAATACATGCATAAAGCTAAAGCTGCTCCATAAGAGTACTGAAGCAAGTCTGTGTTGCATTGACAGTGAGTTTCTGCGTAGCCAGATAACCCTCCCACTAGTGTTGGAGGGGCATCCCTGGACGAGCAGGCGCGCCATTGTCAACGTGTGCCCTGGCAACTCCCTCAATGTCGACCACAAGCCGCCTCCACACCGACGCTGGCCTCCGAATCCCTCACGCCGCGAGTCGTTCTGGCACATCTCAGTTTGGTTTTGCTGCCGCGTTCCAATCTAATTCACTACCAGTAGCCTGCATATGTTCATGCTATCAACTACCTACAAGAAGTCCAAGAGGCGATCGTACCACATACACTTACACTACTGAGAACACGAGAAAATAAAGGTCACGATGACATCATCTGTACATCATGATGAGTCATTGATGACACCATCATCTGTCCTTAGTATGACATCATAGTAGTTGTCACGCTTGTCTAGTCTCAGTACTATTTTCTTTCTTTACTATGTTCGAGCCAGGGTCCGGCGGATTCTGCCAGCAGAAAAATTGGCAGAACTCGGTACTTTTTCTGGTAAGTTTCATGCATTTTTGGTATGTGTTTTTTATGTGGATAAATGAAATGGAGCAGAATTCGAGGAATTGCCCGCCATAAGGTTTGTATGGTTCTGCCAATTTCACTGCTCTTCGAGCAGAATCTGCCACCCTTTCGAGCAGAATCTGCCGGTCCCTAGTTCGAGCTGGGAAAGGGAACATAGTAAAAATAATTTAAAATATTGTCATTATTGTCAACGGGCGCTAATGAATTGTCTGTACGTTCTAGAGCACTAGTAGTACCGCCCCCGAATCACCACTCCTGTGATGTACACTGCACATGTATGCCCATCCAGATGGGACCACTGTAGGACTAAATGTAAATGCAATACCTTTCAATTACCGGTATTTTATCTAGCTGTTCGCTGTCTACATGGATATTGAAATTCCTGTTATTGGACACAATAATTTTATTATTAAAACAGAGAGGTTCCAGGCTGTCCAAGAGAGTGCTCAATACCGAGTGGTAGAGCTGGTTCAAACAATAGGAGGACAGAGAAAGTGTTTTTACTCCGAGTTTCACGCACTAAGCGATCATCAGAAAACAGTAATGAGAAATCTGGATCAGTATTAAATTTTGTTTATATACCCACAAAGCAAAGTGTAAAGAACTGCAGCATGGCGCAAATCTGTTTTAATTTTATTATTATTCTTATTATTTGATAACCGCAATCAATAAAACTAGCTGAACCGACATTTGTGTACTTTATTCATGCAATGTAAAAAACGGTGGAGACGATGTGCAATAAAACGATGAAAATATGAAGAAATGGTGTAGGGAAAAAATATGGATTCAAACATTTTTTTCCCTACACCATTTCTTCATATATTTTCATCGTTTTATTGCACATCGTCTCCACCGTTTTTTTACATTGCATGAATAAAGTACACAAATGTCGGTTCAGCTAGTTTTATTGATTGCGGTTATCAAATTGTTGTCTCCTCGCCGTGTGTTTAAATTATGATTATTATTATTATTATCGCGAATCCAAATAAACAATAACAACAACATGCACGTGCATGTAGTCATTGGATGGTCAAAAATCTGGTGCTCTCGACTCTCGTTGCTTGTCCATTCATGCCATGTACATGTACATAAGCGCAGAAATCACTCCTGAGAGTGAGAGGCCGCACCTGCAAGTGGCAATTGGCCGCTTGCAAATAGCTCTCGATAATGCCTGACAGAGTGACACCTAGAGAAAGATGGGTGGTACGGCCCTAGGTTGACTGCATCATCCCCCCCCCCCCCCATGGCCAATTTCAATATCGTGGGAGGATGTATCTCTATCTTCATGCTGCCTCATATCTCCATGTACATGTACATGTACATGTACGCCATGACATTTGTTTTAGCCACACATTATCTGTATATATGTACATGTACATGGACATGTACAGCAAGCACAGCGGTTCTCATTGGTCAGTTCAGGAGGGACAGAGTCTGATGAGGAATGCACAACTGTTATGTACTTGGACAACACCATTATTATGTGAATGGGACAAGTACAAAAGTGAGTTGTACTGAAAAAACGTGAGTTGTGCTGACACTGGGTCTGTACTCTGTGAACGGGCAAATGCCATTGTCTGTTTACATGCAAGACTGGCCCCTAGCCTGATACCCGACCCATTCCATTGTCTCTTGCACCATGTACAGCCCGTGCAGTCTAACGATCGTTGATACAATCAAAAATTATCAGCACTGATATCATTACATTAGCACGGCCATACACTTGATTGAAAACTTTCCCCTTCAACTTTCAAGTCTGTTGCAACGGAAGACTGCATTACATGGGTTGGACCTATTTTATCTGAGTCGAAGTGTCATCACCTTCACCTTTCTATTTTAGCCCTTACTATGAAATCAAGAATGCCAAGAAAGACTTCGAAAAAGCAAGTTCTCTTGTGACAATAATCACAAGCGAAAGAGAAGACGAAGCTTCAAGGGCTTTGATTTCGGGCTTCGGAAACATCTTCAGCAGAGCACCCTCACAGCTTGCACAATGCGCTCCATTCTGATTTTTCACTCACACTCTGGCGGAACGTGGTTGAGCCTCCATAAACCGTACACGGCTGCCGTTGGGTCACTGAGCATCACTTCGTTCACACACGTAAAGTGCACACAAATTTCATGAGACTGAAGCTCCCTATCATGACTGTCAACATGCGTGTAATCTCAGGCCATCAGGGCTGTCCCATGCATGACACATATACACGCATGATAGGTCCCAAATCCCTTTTGAGAGCGCGCACCTGTCATAAGCAATCCAACTTTGATAGGTAGCGCTTGAAAAGACCCTCCCAGTCCCTCGTTCGAGACAGCTCAGCACTAGCACCAAGTCTGCAACAACGGTCGGTAGACTGCACGGGCTGTTGGTACAGTGTACTTGCACATGAAGATCTAAAATGTACATGTGCAAGATCGAAGGATCACAGCACGTTCATGAACAATGTCATGTACATGTCGTACCAGTCCTGCGGCACTGATACTACAGGTCTACTCTCCGTATAACGTAATCTCTGGGACCACGCAAAAATTATGTTATATCGAGAGTTATGTTATGTAGAAAACCGTGTGTAAAATACAAGATGTACCTCAAAATGAAGGCTATTACAAGATGGATTTAACCGTGCAAACATATTATACACACTGTACCACCATCGACATCACATACCATCAATGCCGCAGAATTTATGCACAATAGGATTACACTGGCTAGCTACGGCTACAGCTTGATCGTACCGCACACGTGAATCTACGTTATATCGAGAGTGCGCGACGTGCGCACTTCGGGGAGCGCGCCACAGGGTGCGTTATGCCGAGGTTTACGTTATGTAGGACTAAACTGGCCTAAACTGCCTAGCAACAGCTACCGCTTGATCGTACGGTGCACTTGAATTTATGTTGTATCGAGAGTGCGCACGTCGGGGACCGCCGTAGCGTGTGTTATGTCGAGGTTTATGTTATGTAGGATTATGTTGTGTAGAACAAAATTTGTATGGGAGTGATGCTATTTCGGCGCGGGATTTGATTTTTTTACTTACTAGCAAGGTTTATGTACAAGTGAGAGTTGTTATATCGAGAGCAGACCTGTAGTATGCTGCGTGCACGAATTGGCGAAGTAGAGTCTCTCCTCTCAGTGCTCACACTGGAATTCACCTGGTGCATGCACATGTATACTCTGATAGGATTATTATAGTCTTGCTTAGTACGGACATTATTCGGAGCATGTTTCTATTGATGCATACTATAGGTATGTTCGGATAAGACGCAGGGACATGCAACTCGGATACTACGAACACACCTTTCCTGCCGCTAGTACGGAGGCTTGGCCAGGCGAATGTCGCATTCCAGGTGCCACTCCAATGCCATGGAAGACGACCTCAGTCGCAAATTTCGTCTTGTGGTGAGGATTGAAAGAAAAGAACTAGCGCTTGCATGATAGTTGCCGGTCATACATGACAATCGTGTGCACTGATATCTGCAACGTAGTAACTTCATAACTGTCTCACACGGATCCGCGAATCGCCTTCCGATTGCGTTTCCGAGCGAAATGTCCGAAATTTCGCGTTGCAGTTCACGACATGAAAAGTGTAGGCGAAATCGAACGCCACCTGAGTCTTACTCGTCCTCCTTGTCATCGTGACTTTACAGACTAACGACCACCATTCGGAATACAGGATGAGCACACTGCTCATTCTACGCCGCAAACCTTTATGTACACGAAGAGCAGGTGCGTCTTGTTAATGTTTTTCTATTGCCGTTGCTTTTAATTTTTTTAATAATTTTTTTGTCATTTTTTCTATTTTCGAAGATTTTATTTCCATGCCGCACCCAATGCTCTGTGTTTATCTAAGCACATTCAGCACGTGCGAACTTGTGACCGCTTTACCACCGCTGCTGTG